TTATATAAACTCGGCGGTTTATCTTTATCCTCGGTCGATCGAGAAATACGAATTATTTTCGCCGGCTCACGACAATGTACGGGCACACGCCTTGGGGGGGTCGCGAGATCTAATTGCACAAAAGCGTCGCGGCCGTCCGTGAGTCATGTAACGCGTGTCTCGCGAGCACGTGTGCGCCGTGATAACTGATAACAGTCCTCCTGCACGTACCGGATAAAGTGTTTGTGCGCCGACGAGACTATCTCTCCTCTTTCGAGCGTTGCGAAAGAATTCTGGGCGAGCTTCTTCCGCTCCGACTTCTCTCTCTACGCTCTAGCAGACAGTTCGGCTTGTTATTCGAGATAATTATTCGAATGAATTCTCTTTAGACGAGCAACCTATTGTAATATCTATATTATTATTATTAATTAATACTATATCATTATATTATTTATATATATATATATATATATATATATATATATATATACATATTATTATATTATTATATTATTGTATTAATACTATATTATTATTATTAATTATTGTTAATAATCCGTCATAAATTATTCTATTTATATATTACAAGTATTTATATACTTATATAAAACACTGACCAATGAGAGGCGAGTCATCGTTTTTCGTTAATAACTCATAAACAAAGCCGCGGATTGCATTTTCGCCAAGGAAAAAGTTACTTCAAATGACCTCAGGAACCCCTAATTTCGCGCTTGTACAATAATTTTTGGACACCCAGTAGAACTTACAACCTGATAACTCTTTAATAAAGCATTTAAAAGCCAATGTTCGTATCACTTTTTTTTCTTATTTTACTTGCAGGATATGCTGGTAAAGATTTGCGGTGAAAAAAACGTTTAAATGAAACGACACTGTAAAATGGTGCTTCATCGTACTCGCAATAACGAGAGATACGAGTAAAGCGAGAATTTATTTCCTTCGATCGTACAATTTAGTGTAAAAGAACAATTTCGCAATAAGAACGATATCTTAACGCCTGGCGAACTGAAAATTGAACTGCTGGGGTTCGTTTAACCCCGCACAGTTCGCGGAAGATTAACAACGTTTAATCGAATAAGCGATCGATCCTACAAAAACGGCTTCCAGAGCTCAAGTTTCTCTAAAGCTGCTCCATCCGTCTCAAGCTCGATTCTGGCTTAGTTGAAACAAACAGGTCGTGATTCAAACGTCTTAAGAGGGGAGCCTCGTGTAACAGGTCGAAGCAATCACTTGTTTATTGCTCAAATCAATGACGTATACCTACAAAAAGATTCTCGTCGAAGGTACACTCCCCTACAAAAGTATTAGGGAACGCTTACAGAAAAATTAGATAACTGTGAAAAGTTGATACGAAATTGTTATAATTTTTTAGATCCATTTCAAAGTTAATCGTATTAAACTGTAACAAGTATATAAATATATATTACACTGTAATAAAAATAATGTAAATTTTATAAAAGATTATAATAATAATTATTATAATATGTATATATATATATGTATATGTATATATAATTATAATAACATAATTTTATAAAAGGAAAGAAAATTTTCCTACATTCATATCTAAAGTTTGATTATTTCACTCGGGAACACCCTATATATACGTTATTAAAGGCAAACAGATGTTAAATCTTCCAATTACATCTATTAATTAAGAGAAATATAAGAAAAATCTTATTTCTTTAAACAATATGTTATTGT